CAGTGGCCTCCTGGACCGCTGGGTGTATGTCGCCGGGGAGAGGGGTGGACGTGTGTGTACGTGGGTGATGCGTGCAGCATTGGTGGTGGAGATCCTGCGTAAGGACCTATGGGAGGGGTGCACCTTGTGAACGTGTATGTTTGGGGTAGTCAAGGACTCAAGCGCTGAGCAGTGTGCGCAAAGGGAAAAGGACAAGTTGGGGCGGGGTGAGGGGAATGGAGTGTGCCCAGGCAGACACCGGCTAGAGGACACCAAGCCGTGCGCGTGTGCCTAGTTGTATACTTCGGCACGCGCGGCGCGGTCCTCTCTAGGTCCAGGACCTGGTGCTTGTTGGTTGAGGGGAAGTTACTGTTTGTGAACCCACGTTGGAGAGTTGTCCTGAGCGGAAAAAATCCCCTGTGCTAGGACACTGGTGGGAGTATCCCTCTGTGTGTGTGTTCCTGCAAATGAATCAATTTGGGAATACGTCCGGTGCGTGTGGAGTGCTTATGGGTGGACTGTGGATGCGGAAGGAGTGTCTCCAAATTTGGGACCCTGGAAAGGGGCGGTCTCAGCTGTCCCAGCAAGGAGCTAGGTAGGGGCTTGCACCGGTGGAGTGGAGAGAGGCAAAGCGGTCCGCCCCGGGCTCAGCTAGGAACCTCCTGCTGGGCAGGGGCCGGGGGCGGAGCTGGATGCCCCTGGGGGCGGGGTCGGAGGGGGCGGGGAAGGCTAGAGGGCCGGGCCGCCGCGTCTGCAGCAGCGCGGGCCGGGCCAGGGGGCGCCTCGCGCGGCAGCGGTTCGCGAGGGCGATGCAGTGAGACAGGACCGGCGGGCGGGCGGGCGCGCGCGGGGCGGGGGCCGCGGCAGCGCTGCAGCGATGTGACTTGAGGCCGAGAACCAGCAGGAGCGTCGGCGCTGCGAGGCCGCGGCGGTCGGTGAGTGCGAGCCGCGCGGATGGGGTAGAGGGAGCTGCTAAGACCCCAGAAACTTTTCCCGCCGCGGACTCGGGAGAATTGGGGAGTGTGCTTCTTGTGCCCTTCTAAGGCCCTCCCGGCGGGTTAGTCTGTTGAGGAAGATGGGGGGTCGGGGAGGGGGGAACCCCAGTCCCGCCGAGGGCAGGGCGGGGGGAGGGGAGGGCTGCAGACCTTTATGCCCGAGGTGGGAGAGGAGAGGGTGCCCTATTCCCGGACCAGGTGGAGATCCAAGTCTCTGAGGAGGGTCTGGGGGCGACCGCAGGTGAAGAACAACTGGGAGTAGTGTGAGGGAACCCAGCCGTACCCGAGTGACTCGTCGTGGGAGGGAAGCCGCGGGTAGGTCCGGGGGGCGCGTGCCCAGGCGGTGGGGGCTGACCGCAGGGCAGACCGAGTTGCGGTTATAAGGACTGGGCTTTGGGGGTGACCTGCCGCACCTGCCGCAGGGGCTAGGGGCCAGGCTTGCAACCCGCGGTGCCTGCGCACTACGGGACAAGGGGCGGGGGGACACTGCGGGGGCGGAAAAGAGGCAGAGCTGAGACCTGGGGCTGAGGGACAGACGGGGGTCGGCTGCATACAATGGCGGGGGCTGACGTTCCTATTCCGACCAGATTGGGGCTGAGGACTAGTCTTGTGCGTTCACTGCCTTTGAGGGACACGGGCTCCCAGCTCCGCACATCCCGGGATCCGTACCGCCCTCACCGGCCTGGGACCGGGGGAGCTAGCTAGCCATCCCGGGAGTCGGGCGCCGACCTTGCCACAGAGGACGGCCCCAGCGCAGCTCACGAGTTCGTCCCCTGGCTCTCGCTCTGTCACACCCAGGCCCAACCAGCCTCCCCCCGCCCCCCACTCGTCCCCCATTCGCTAAGGGGGCGGCTCCTTGGAGCGCGGACAAAGGCCCCTGGAGTGTGGCGGGCTGCGGCGTCCCTGTCTGGGGCCCCGGCCCACGCGCCACATTGGCTGCCCAACTGCGCCAGGATGGGGGGCACTTGAGCGGAGCCCAGGAGGAACTGGGGGTCCTCGAAAAGACAAGAGAAGTGAGGGAAAAGTGAGAGAAGGATCTGGCACAAAAGCCGGGGAACTTCAGCCAAGGAACCTTGATTCAGAAGTTTCCTCGGTGGGGTGGGGGCTCTCGGTGGATTCCGTCTTGGAGTGAAGCTGCATGCAAATAGCATGTAAATAGAATGCAAATCATCATCTGTTGGTTGGGAGCTCTCCACGAGGCCAGTTTTGTATCTAGGCTGTGGAGTGAAGGGTTTTCTATCTGTTCCCTGCTCTAAGTCTGAAAAGGGGTCAGCTGAGTTGAGAAGGAGAAAAATGGAAGGGGAGAGGAGTCGCCATTTGAGGCAGGCAGCAAGACAAGCAGTCTTGTTAGAAAGAGAAGCTTCAAACGCTTATCGGTTTATTTGTTCTTTCAGTAAATGGACCAGCTTCAGAACTGGGGCTGGGACACTACAGAGTAGAGTATGGACAAGCCTCTGCTCTCAGGGCACTAGCCAGGTGGGTGAACAAATAAATAGCTAAATAAGTAAATAAATAGTAGATGGAACTTCTAATTGGGGTAAGGGCTGCTAGGAAAGTAAAACAGGAGGATATCAAAGCAATGAGGGTTTGTGTATGTAGGGAAGACCATTCTCAGGGGTGACATTTTTGTGGAGCCTGGCAAGATGGAGGTTCCACCTCTGGGTGGGCCACTTGGGTCTCTTGGGGGACTGCTGTGCAGACAGAGGGCACTGCAAATGCAAAAGCTTGGAGGTGGGAATGAGTTTAGAACTGAACAAAGGCCATTGTGACTGGAGCTCGGAGGCAGATGTGGAGGGGGTGGGTGGGAGAGGGGATGGTAGGGACCAGCCAGACCACCATCTTTGGGGCCGTGGAAAGGAGTACAGGTTTTATTCTCCTTGGGCCAGTGAACCCTTGGAGAGTTTTGAGTGGGAAGCCAAGGGATCTGATTTTTAAAAGCTCCCCTGACCTCAACTCACAGATGGAAAGCAGCTCCCCTTTCATTCTGCCTCTGGGGATGGCGAGGCTCCTGGAGACTCTGAGGGACTCCGTCTGGCCTGCGGGGACCGCTTAAACCCTGCTCTGTCCTAAGAGCCCACTTGAGGAGCGGCTCAGGTTTTAAAATTCACTCTCCACTTTGAGGCAGTTCTTGTCCGCCTTAAGTGGCCCCCACCCAGGGCCCTTGGCCCCATAAGCCCTTCACGCAGAGCTTCCTAGGGGTTCTGAGTTAGTCACATTTTCTTCTTGGAATTACAGCCCAAGAGGAACCATCCACCCCTGAACGGACAGCCAAGGATGCAATTTGCATTTAAATGATTGCTTTTATTTACAGGATTGGAGCTGCTTTGCATATTCATGGATCATGGAGCTTGTGTTCTGGCAACCCTGTTTACTAACCCAGGAGGGTTATTAAATTCAAGGGCCCCCAAATAGGCTGGTGGTCTGGGCAGCATTAGGAAATGAAGATTATGAGATGGTGTAACTTGGAAAAGATATTAGAGGGTGAGATTGTGGGTCTGGGAAAGAGCTTAATGTCAGGAAACCTTGTAACAGTTTAATCTTGCAGATCAGGAAATGCACCATTGGCTTTAAGGGGAGTAGGCTGGGACAGAGTGTGATGCTGGGGTGTATGGGGAGACTGGCTCCACAGCCTCATCCTGGCCTTCTGCCAGTCATGGGGTGAGGGGTGAGGCCTCAAACCAGAGGTGCAGTGGAAAGGCCTCGGGTCAGGAGTTGGGGGAAAAGAGTTCTAGTCCCAGCTTGGCCTGTGAATTCCAGTAAGCCTCTGGCAAAGCGGTCCCACCTCTCATTTTCCCAAGAGGAAGGACGATGAAATCATGATTGTCTTTTTAATAAGCAGGGATCCTGTATTCCCTGTGGGACAAGCACCTTGCAGAGAGTATTTTTCATGTACTTTTCTCACTGGCTTTGTGAAGGCGGCGCTATCATTTTGTCTTTTATAGAGGAAGAGACTGAGGGTCAGAGAGGTTAACTAATGCCCCATGTCACATAGTTAGGTCTGGCTTCACTCTAGAGGAGACTGATGAAAGTGTAAATTCTGTGCCAGGCTATTGACTATGCCCAGACGTAGGAAGGCCCCCTCCCCACCTGCTCATTTTTTTCTTTCCCTTCCATGTTCTAGCATCCCCCTCCCCATATCATGTGGGTAGTGGGTAGATGGGGACACTAGTTCCCAAGAGAATGGGGTCCTCACCCTGACTTCTTGACAGGGAGACCCTGTGTGTGTGTGTGAGGGCTCCTAGATTGGCCTGGGTTTCCCGTGGGAAAACCACCTTCACAGTGAGGCCTCCACTTAGAGCTCCTGGTTTGGGGATCAGGTGAGTTTAGAGGTTCCCAGGGCAGACTCCCACCAAAGGCATCTCCTATTCACACCACCTCAGGGATCCTCTTCTCCTGGCGTGATGGGGGAGGCTGAAAACCAATAGCGGACAAACACCTGGGTGAGCCCCCTTCCCACCCCATCTCCATGGCAACTGCTCCTCCTGGAAAAGCAGTCAGCAAAGTTCATAACCTCTGAGGAGAGAATAGTTGCCAATCATTTTTATTTATTTAACAGACAGTTTATGTAAGTGCTTACCCTGTGTCAACTACTGTCCTGAAACCTCATTATTTTAAGCACAACGATCCCACAGGATGGGTCCTGTGAACACACCCCTAGTTTGCAGAGGAGGAACCTGAGGCAAGAAAGGTTAAATCAGTTTGTCCAGGGTCACAGGGTACTAGCAGGTGGCAGGGGCAGAACTTGAAACCGGAAGATCTCTCTCGGAAGTTCGCCCTGCTTGGTGAGGAGCTGGGCTGGGAGGGCTAACCCGGCCTGTGGCCTTCAGGCAGGCAGCACTGTCCTCTCACAAGGAATCTTGCCTGCATTCTTTCCAGCCTCTGCAGGCCCCAGCTCGTGCAGAAATGGAGCGTACTGTTCACCACCTGCCGGAGGCTTCTGGTCCCTCTGCGGGTGGGGGTTGTGGACAGAAAGAGTGAGAGAGAGACAGAGACAGAGACAGAGATAGTATATTTAAGAGCCTCTGAATGAGTCACATTTCTGGGAGCCTGCCTGGCCGCAAAGGTAATTAGTATGTGAGCCGAGGCTTGTGCGTTTGTTCACATTTGCTCATTCCTCCTTTTGAGGAGCCGCACGCCTACATCTCCTGGGTTTGTTGCCATATATTTATCCTGTGCCGATCAGCCTTGCCTGCGGCTGACTTGAAACCTCTAATCTGGCATTGTTCCCTTTGGGATTCCTGGAGAACTGCTCCGTTGGTGGGAGGAAGCACCAAGGGGCTGATGCGGAGGCTGGGGCTTACCTGACAAGTGGGAGCCACCTGCTTGGTCCCTGGCAGAGTTGGCGAGGCAGAGCGTACTGCGGCCACGGCTCCTGGCTTCCCCGGCTGCACGGGTCCGAGCTTCTCACGCTTCTGTGTGCCCAAGGGTCTGAGCGCATTTGGAGCTTGCCTGGTGGGCTTGTTAGAACAGAGGGGGCTAGGCCCAACCCCCCCGAGAGTCTGCACTTCCAGCGAGCTCCCTGGTGACCCTGCTGCTGTTGGCCATCTGAGGATCAGACTCGGACTTGAACCTTTCAGGCCGTCAGTTCTTTCCTCTGTAAGAGAGCAATGAGAACACCTGTCCTTCAGGAGTATCATGAGGGTTGAGACTACTCTTACCAATTCATTGGTTCGGCAGCTGCTAGCAGGTCAGTGCAGAGCAAGACAGACACAGCCCTGGACACGGGAGAGCAGGGAGTGGACCCAAAGGTAATAAAATATTTGAAAATTGTGGCATATGTTACAAAGACAAAATCAGGACTGGTGTAGAGTATATTGGGGGGGGGCAGGAGAGACTGGCCAGCAAGGGTTCATTCACCAGGTGACATTTCTAGAGCCCTGGTCTGTAGTAAGAGCCCAAGTAACAATAGTACAATTGTTTGTCGCCTCACTCCACCACTTTCTAGCTGTGTGACCTCCAACAAGCCAGCTGACCTTCATGTTTTACTTCCTATAAAACGGAGATAGTAGTAGTACCAGGCTCGTAGTTCATTGTGCAGATTATAAGGCATTTGTACGTGTGCCGTGCATGAAGCTGTGCCTGCAGTGTGGTGAGCGCTGTGACTTAGTTATTGCCATTGTCACTCTGGCAGCAGCAGAAATCTCTGGAGGGCAATTCTGACTCTCCCCGGAAATCCTAGATGAGCCAGGCTCCGCTTCATCCTGTGGGGCTGTGAGGAGCCCTCCTGATCATCCCAGACACCTCCTGGGCATCCTTAACAATGATAATGATCCACGAGAGACAAGTGGATTCCACTAAAGCTCCTGGCTGCCACTGGTGGCATCCACATGCCTAGACATTGGGTAGGGAGGACTTCCTGGAAGAAGGGGGCCACATGACGTGGGAGGAGTCATAACACTTCCTTGTTGGCGAGCAACACAAACCCAGCTCAAACTGGCTTAATCTAAAAAAAAAAAAAAAAGCAAGTTTATTGGCTGGATGAATAGTGGCTAGACCATGAGTCTGACTGCCACATCTGGGGTGCACCCTCACCCCGAATCTGCTTGCATGCAATGCTGGGATGCGTGTTTTAGAAGCATCTCTTGCCAGATGCCTTCTGCCCTGAACCTGCTTCTCTCATCAAGAGGCAAAGGTGACGATCCCTATAGCACCAGACCCCTTCTCATTTGGTGGCATCAATAATTTATCCCAATCAATGGCTTCACAGCCAAGACAGGATCAGAGCTGCTCATGGAATCCCTGAAAGGAACAGAGAGGGGGAGAGAGAGGTGGTCGATACTGCATTTACTTAAGGAAGCCCCAGGGAGGAGCGGGAGCTGCCTGGACCCAGCTGGTTACAACCTCACACATGGGGCAGCGAAGGCAGTGGGTCCAGCCTGAGCTGCCTGGAGACAGGCTCAGAGCAGAGCTGTGTAGGCCGGAGCTTTCTGAAGGCCACGCTCCGTTGAGAAGCAAGAGCTGGTGGCAGGTGGGGCCCGGGAAAGAGTCCCGGTGAAGGAGCCTCTCATTCATTCAACATCCACTAAGCATCACCTTTGTGCCAGCACTGGGTGCTAGTGCTTGAGTCCACACCAGTGGGGTCATCCTGGCAATTTTGCATGCCCACCCCCACAGGGGACATTTGGCAATGTCAAAAGATTTTTGGGTTGGGGGAGAGTAGGTGTGCTACGGGCATCTAGTGGATAGAGGCCATGGGTACTGCTGAATATCCTACAGTACAGAGGACAGCCCGCACGGCCAAGAGCAGTCAGACCCAAAATGTCAATGATACCAAGGTTGAGAAGCCCTGGTCTACCCCAATGAATAGACAGTGTCCCTGCCCTCCTGCACCTTGCAGTGGAGAAAGACAGGGAAAAGAGCAAGAAGAAGGAAAAGGGAGAAACAAAGTGAACAGACAAGGAGGGGAAAAAAAGACTATTGGAGCAAAAAAGGAACTAGAACAAGAGGCTCTGGTGAAGAGGAATGGCACTGTGACCTTGGCCGAGGTCGGAAAGGGCAACATTAGGTGGGGGTGAGGAACATTTTCCAAGCCATGGGTTGGGAGCGTTTAGGCAGAGGAAGCAGGAGAGACAAGATGGGAATTGGGTTAAGGCCATTTGCCATGGCTGCTGTGTGGAGTTCAGCTTTCATGGGGACCCAAAAGAGTGCCGAGGGGAATCCTCAGGCACCCTGGGAGGTACAGACAGGGGTGCAGTGAGGGTGGGTTCTTTGGAGATCTTTGGGGGAGGTAGGGGTGAGGTAAAGGTGGAACCCAGGACGGCAGTTCATTCTGGATACACTGTTTGAAATGAGGGCATGCTTCTAGGAGCTGGGTGGTATGACCTTGGGCAAGTGTCCTAACCTCCTGGAGACCCTGTTTTGTCACCAGTGTAAGGACTGGATGTGCCCAGTGCCTGGCTTAGAGTGAGTCATGGGTAAATATTAAGCCGTTACCATTGAGAGACTGCAAAAAGGCAGTGCATACCATTCTTAGCACAGCGCTGGTCTCATGGCTGTCTCTTCAAAGTTTTGTTTTCATTCCCTTATTTTTGAAGAGGTCAGACATAGCACAGAATACAAAAATCAAAGAATACAAAAGAGTATACAGAGAGAGATTCACCCTCTTCTCCAGCCGCTAGCGATGATGATTCATGATTGTTCACTGTGCCAGATCAAGGCTGCAGATGGGAGCTTAAATTAGGGTCCTGTACCTTCCCCACCCCCAACCAGGGTCTGTGCTGTCTGGAGAAAGGGGTGCCTTTTTCTGACCTGTCAAAGGTGCCTCATGGGCCAGCAGGTTGGAAATGAGGTGGGTCTTAAAGAAGTCAGGAAAGTGGGAATCTTACAGTGAACTGGTCTTTTTCTCCCTCCAAACATCTCCCCCCGTCCTTAATGTTCTGGAACCTGTCCGGTGTCAGAGAGAAAGATGAAAACCCACCAGGTGCTGGCCTTCCTCTTGCTCTTCGTGATTGCCTCCGGGGCTTCTGAGAACGCCAGCACTTCCCGGGGCTGTGGACTGGATCTCCTCCCTCAGTACGTGTCCCTGTGCGACCTGGACACCATCTGGGGCATCGTGGTGGAGGCGGTGGCTGGGGCAGGCGCCCTGATCACGCTGCTCCTGATGCTCATCCTGTTGGTGCGGCTGCCATTCATCAAGGACAAGGAGAAAAAGGACCCCGTGGGCCTCCACTTCCTCTTCCTTCTGGGGACCCTGGGCCTCTTCGGGCTGACCTTCGCCTTCATCATCCGGGAGGACGAGACCATCTGCTCGGTCCGCCGGTTCCTCTGGGGCGTCCTCTTCGCTCTCTGCTTCTCCTGCCTGCTGAGCCAGGCGTGGCGCGTGCGGAGGTTGGTGCGCCACGGCAAGAGTCCCTCGGGCTGGCAGCTGGTGGGCGTGGCGCTGTGTCTGATGCTGGTGCAGGCCATCATCGCCATCGAGTGGCTCGTGCTGACCGTGCTGCGTGACGCCAAGCCGGCCTGTGCCTACGAGCCCATGGACTTTGTAATGGCCCTCATCTACGACATGGTGCTGCTCGTGGCCGCCCTGGGGCTGGCGCTCTTCACGCTATGCGGCAAGTTCAAGAAGTGGAAGCAGAATGGGGCGTGCATCCTGGTCACAGCCTTCCTGTCCGTGCTCATCTGGGTGGCCTGGATGACCATGTACCTGTTCGGCAACGCCGAGCTGCGGCGGGGAGATGCCTGGGGTGACCCCACCCTGGCCATCACCCTGGTGGCCAGCGGCTGGGTCTTCGTCATCTTCCACGCCATTCCGGAGATCCACTGCGCCATCTTGCCAGCCCCGCAGGAGAACACGCCCAACTACTTCGACACCTCGCAGCCGCGGATGCGGGAGACGGCGTTCGAGGAGGACGTGCAGCTGCCACGCCCCTACATGGAGAACAAGGCCTTCTCGATGGATGAACACAATGCAGGTAAAGGGGTCGCCATGCCGCGGGGTGAGGCTCTGGGACCGCTTCCCCCAAAAGGACTCCCTCCTTCCTCCCTAGTGGGGATGGGTGGCCCCGGGGCCAGTCCTGGCTGATGGGAACCACAGACATTGGGCCCGGTACTTTAACTGGCCCAGGAATGGGTTCTTATTTAGCATTTTTTTCCCTGTCCATTGCCAAAGAATTTAATATCAAAATCTGGGTTTCTCACTTCTTCTGAAAAGTCAGCTCTGGCAATGCTGGCTTGGCATTCCCACCTGGCAAAGATTGTCTGGAGCTGATCTGAACCAGTGTGCGCTGGAAGGTTCCATCTCTCAGGAGTCGGGGCTGCTCCTTTGTTTTCATTTTAATTCCAGGGTAGTTAACACACAGCGTTGTCTTAGTTTCGGGGGTACAATGTAGTGATTCAGCAGCTCCATACATAACTCACCGCTCATCAGGGCAGTTGGATTCTTGATCCCCTTCACCTGTTTCACCCAACCCCCCAACCTCCAACCCCCTCTCTGGTAACCATCTGTTCTCTATAGTTAAGAATCTCTTTTTTGGGGCACCTGGGTGGCTCAGTGGGTTAAGCTGCTGCCTTCGGCTCAGGTCGTGATCTCAGAGTCCTGGGATCGAGCCCTGCATCGGGCTCTCTGCTCTCTAGGGGAGCCTGCTTCCTCCTCTCTCGCTGCCTGCCTCTCTGCCTGCTTGTGCTCTCTCTGTCAAATGGATAGATAAAATCTTTAAAAAAAAAAAAAAAAAAAAAAGAATCTCTTTTTTGGTTGGTCTCCCGCCACCCCCCCCGCCTTTGTTTCTTTGTTTGTTTTGTTTCTTAAATTCCATATATGACTGAAATGGTATTTGTCTTTCTCTGACTGTTCATTGTTCTTTTTCATGGCTGAATAATATTCCATTATATAGATACAGATATAGATATAGATATAGATATAGATATAAACCGCACCTTTATCCATTCGTCTGCTGATGGACATTTGAGCTGCTACTGCAGAAGACAGTATGGAGGTTCCTCAAAAAATCAAAAATAGAAGTGCCTGGGTGGCTCAGTCAGTTGAGTGTCTGCCTTCAGCTCGGGCTCTGATGTCAGGGTCCTGGGATCGAGTCCTGAGTGGGGCTCCTTGCTCAGCGGGGAGTCTGCTTCTCCCTCTCCCTCTGCCCCTCTCCCTGCTCCCTCTCAAATAAATAAGATCTTTTTTAAAAAATTAAAAATAGAGCTACCCTATGATCCAGTAATTGGATTGCACTCCTGGCTATTTACCCAAAGAAAATGAACACTAATTCAAAGGGATATATACAACCCTGTGATTACTGCAGGGGTTTCATAATTTAGCTATTGTAAACAAATATTGTAAATTGTTATTTACAATAGCTAAATTATGAAAGCAGCCCAAGTGGCTGTTCCTTTAGATGGGGATTTGTTTTGTGTTTACCACACTCCCCACCACTCCCTCTTGCTAGAACTCAGCCGCTAGAACATATTAACATTAATTCCCTGGCTACCTGGAAGTGTTTGAGCTTGTAGTCCAGGAGCTAGATGGGTGCAGGGGATACTGGGGACGATTACTTGTGTCTCCTCCCCACCTCCAGCATTCAGGAGTGTATGAATGGGTCCCTGGAGTCAGGTGCCTGGATTCAAGTCCTGCCCTCTGCACTCCCTAGATGTGTGGCTTTGAGCAGATTGCTTTACCTTCCTGAGCATCAGTTTTCCCATCTGTAAGATAGACTAATGAGAGTATGTACTTCTAGAGCTGTTGTGAGAAGTAGCATCCTGAGGGTCTCCCCCAGGACATGGCCTCCTGGATGTGTGTCTTGGCTGGGTTCCCCTGAAAGCAGAGCCTGAGACTTGGGTGTAGCTGCCCTCCCCAGGAGGTGTTCCCTGCAAGGGAGAGGGGAGGGATAACCAGACCAGGAAGACAGAAACAACCAGACAAGTACATCAATGAGCCCGTTACTGATGTGGGCAGCTGGGGCTCAGTCCTGACAGGAGTGCATGTAGAACGAGCCTCAGTCTTGACCTTCCAAATCAGGAGCCTGCAGCATTCGCCTCCGTCGCCCCTTGTCATCCGTATGTCCTCTGTCTCCCACTCTCATTGCCACTTCCCCCATTACTCTGGCCAGATAAGTACTGCTGGCTTCTGAGAGGTTTGGGGGCACAAGAGGTGGAGGCTGTCTGGGTCCCCAGGCCCATGCATCACCCCCTGCAGTGGGGTTCAGAGCTGAGCCTGGAGAATGTGGTGCGGGCACTTGGAGCCCCCGCCTCTGAAATATCTGTTGAGTCGTTCCTTCAAGTGAGTCGGGTAGGTTCCCAGCACTTGAGATTCAATAAAATTGCCTTTTCTCAGTTGCCTGGGGATTGATCAGGGGCTATAATGATAATAATAATGGCTAAATTGACAGCAGCAGCCGTAGCCGTGTGGTGCTGATTACTTAGTACAGTCATTGCTTACTGAGCATTAACTGTGTGCCAGGTGCTATTCTAAGTCCTTGACCTCCCTTGCTGCACCCAGGGAGGCTGCCCTATTATTATCCCCATCTTACAGATGAATAAATGGAGACTCTGAGAGGTTCCATACCTTGCCAAAGACATAGCTGGGAGGTGGCTCATTCCAGATGGCCAAGGTCCCCTTTGCAGTGCTGCTCACCCAGGCAGCTGGGCAATGTTCCCTGGTGGGTCATGACTGCAGAGTCAAGCTTGTGGGGTGACTGCTGAGTGCATCCTGCCTGTGCCCTGCAGGCAGGGGTAAGCACGTTCAGCCATCAGATCCTTGAAGGTCACCCAGAGCCCTCCCCACCTGCCCACTTTCCTCTGCGCTGGACCAGACCCACAGGAGGGAACACCAACGGCTCCACCCGCGGATAGGGCTAGAAACCCTGGTGTGGTCTTTAACGGAGCTGTTTCAGTCTTAGTAGGAAGCCCCAGGCCAGCAAGCCCATGTTTGTCAAAGGATGTAGCAGGAATGAGTGTTGGCTCGTGTTGCCAGGGCAAGGCGGGGGTCAAGATGGGGGTCATCACTGGGAGCCCCGAAGGCCCTCCAGAGAACGTGTCCTGAGCAGAGGTCAGGAGCCCGGCTGGTTTCCGGGGTCTGGTGGAGCCACCCCTTCCAGGCTGCCCCCGGAACAGGATCCTTTTTATGAGACCCATGAACTCCCCTTGGACCTGAGAGGTAGTGGCAGCTTCTGGAATGAATGTGCACCTTTGTACATAAATTGGGGGATTTTTGTTTATCACTTTGTCAGATTCTCAAAGCTGTCTGTGGACCCCAGAAGGCTAAGAATCAGTGGTATTGAACCTGAAGGTCTAGTTTACTTGCAGTGAAACGGGAATGCTAGAATGACCCAAGTATTAGGGTCTTCACGAGTAAGGATGGCTAACCTTTAGTAGGTGCTTACCACGGACCAGTTACCATTCTGAGCATTTTAGTGGCTAATCTCATTTAATCCCTACAATAACCCATTGAATTCCATTTTGCAGACAGAAAACCGAGACACAGAAGGTCCATGCGTCTTGCCTAAGAGGCAGGGAGGGCCGGGGTCTGAGCCCATGCAGGCGGTTTCCGGAGCCCCAGTGCTTGATTAGTCTACCACAGAATTACTCATCTCTCTTCAAAGCACTTTAGTGATCCTGAGCTCACTGGCTGGTTTACCAGGACGACTTTGTGGCTTGAGAAAGCAGGGTTTATCAGTCCCATTTTACAGAGCGGGAAACTGAGTTCCAGGGCTGTCAGGCAACGTGTTTAAGCTCACACTCTAAGAGGGGGGGGGGGGGGGGGTTGGTTTTCCACTACATGCATTTTTTTTCTTGTGAAAATGCAGCCAGTCCTTCCTATCCACATAAGATCCAGCGATCAAAGGTATCTGGGACCCAGGTGAGAACCAGCAGTACCAGGGCTGGCACACTGGGTGATGGGGGGGTCCTAGAGGTGCTCCCCACCCCCATCTATTTCACATTCTGACACATTCCAAAGCCTAGAAAGTCGTCTTTCTGTCCCCTCTTTCTTTTCCAAAATAAAACCAGTCTTATCATTCCATTTTGGTGACAAAAACTAGAATAATCATCTAGAAGTTTCAGTAAGTAAAAATAACAAAAATTGCTCAAACTCCCGTTATCCAAAAGCAGCTACTGCTGTTTGCTCCCATCTTGCCAAACATCTCTCAGTGAGCACACAGTCTCCTTCCTTCCTTCCCTCTTCCTCCCTCTTTTACACACACACACACACACACACACACACACCAGTCCCGTAGACAGATTCTTAACCTAGCTGTACACTTGGGCAGCTAAAAAAAAAATTACCAGTGCCCGCCCCCTCGTTCTGTCTGTTTGGGTTCAGGTTTCTTAAGCTTTCCAAAGGATTTGAAGATGTAACCACTGATCTAAGTGGTGTTCTGTGGTGTGTTTGCTTAAGTCAATATTGTATCATGGATGGAGGCCTTTCCAGGTCAGTGACTGCAGAGCTCTAGTATCCTTTCCATGATGCAGAGCTTTCCTTGGAAACAGTAATTTATTTTTCTGATCCTCAGCTGGTGGATTTTCCACTTGTTTCTGACTTTCCATATAAGTAATGTTGCAGTGAACATTGATCTTTGTGCCCTTAATCAATTAACTTCTTGCAAGACCAAAAAAACAAACAAACCACCACCTTCTAGACATGCATAAAAGAGTCTGTACCTTTAAATCTTGATATATACTGCCAGATGGCCCCCTAAAATTTAAACTAATTTTCTGCACCCTCCCCCCCCAGTAACTGTATGAGCGCCCCACTTCTTCACTCACCTTGGATGTTATCAGACTTTGTTTTAATAGCCCTGTTTTGGATCATCCCAAATGTATGTCCACCAAAATTCACATGGGACCAGGCAGGGTGGGCCCCAGGCAAAGCCAATTCCGTCAGAAAGCTCACATGAGCTAAATTAGAGTGCTGGCTAGGATTGCCCTTGTTCTAGAAACCCTTGCTTTGCTGGCTGGGGAACCTCTGGGCGTGTTCCCTTGCCACTGTGAGAACAACTGTTGTCATTTTTGGTGCTGACCTCAGCCAGCTTGTATTTTCGGGAACCAGGCCCCAGTAGGGGCCTTGCCCAGGAGTTACAGTTGGCCCTCTTTCTTTTGCGCTTTAGCCAGCCAGCCTTTTGGGCCCTCTTCCCTTGAGAGTCAATCTTGACGTCTTCAAGAGATGGGAAGGACATTCCCCAGGTGGCCTGTGGCTCAGTCAAGCCCCAGTGTCCTCTGCTTCCAGGTTTCCTTCTCCCGAATGAGATCCCAGGTATACAGAGCACTTTATCAGCCTCCTGCTTATTAATAAGTATCAGCAAGGCATGAGGTATGTGATGAAAGTTGAAAATGCACGAAGGATGTAGCACCTCAGATCACATCTTGGAAAGCGTTAATGAGGCATATTAAATGTTCACCTTTCAAAGGAGCAATAAAGAAAAAAGTGCTCTTTCTTTTAGGGGATTTGGGCTCTCAGATCTCCTTAGGGACCAAGGGCTATTTAAACTTGGACTCTTCGCTTTCTGGTGCGTGGCCCTGAGTCAGCTTTGAGGGAGGGCCCATGTAGCCTCACCGGCAGGGTCTGGATAGGAGTAGGCTGGCATTCAACCTATAAACTTAGATTCCTGTAGGGAAGCTCTTATGAGCCCTGCTCGCCTTTCACAGCTGACCCAGGTCAGAGTGCGGGGTTAGGTGTGACACTTGCAGTGGCAAGTAATAAAAAAATCTGATTTGAACTGGCTTAAACCAAAACAAAACACAAGAACAAATGTACTGGGGATCAGGCTACAGGAATCATTAGATCAAGGAGTCTCGGGTGATGACTAGATTTGATCTTTCTCCATCTCTTGGCTCTGTTAGTACCTGGGCAGCCCACAACTCTAGGCTTAGACAGAGTCCCAGTGGAAAAGAGGATCGTTTCCCAGCAAAAATCCCAGAATTGGCTCTGAATGGACCTAATTGGCCAGATTGAAGTCACATGCTGACCTCAGGCCAGGGTAGAAGGTGGTCATAGCAACACTTGGGGCCAAGGCACCCACAGATGGCTGGTAGAGTCGAGCCTTTGTTTCTTTGAGGAAAATGTGTTGGGGTCAGATTCTCCCAACACAGCTGGCCGGGTCTGTGCATTATAAGGAAAGAGTGCTATTCGGCATTCCCCCTCTAGGGACTGAGACTAGTAAGAGCCCAGGAACTACCTCCTCTGCCCCCTGGTGCCCCTCCCTGGCTCCCCCTTCTCTACTTCGTGGGAGAGGTATCTCCTTGCTCAGCTCATGCATAACCAGCTACTTGAAGGCTTGGATAGAGCTGCTAGAGCCAGAGAGGTTTACCTGTGGCCAGAGACATTCGCTCCCCACTGTGCCTCAGTTTCTTGGGCCCAGCTTGGGCTGAGCTGCCTCTCTCTAATGTCGCTTAAATTCAGGTTGCTTCTAAGTGTGATGGTTGAAAACAGTATTTGAAGCCAGCAATGTGGGATGGTTAAGAACACAGATTCTCTGCCTGGGTTTTGGATGCTGGTTCTGCCTCCTTCCAACTGTGTGACCTTGGGTTAGTAACTTAATCTCTCTGTGCCTTGTGTAAAGTGGAAATAATGAAAGTACCTATTATGGTATAAAGCAGACTCCCTGCTGAGCGCAGAGCCTGATGCTATGCGGGGCTGCACTCGGGGGCTCCAGGGTGGGGCTCAATCCTGTGACCCTGCGATCTGACCTGAGCTGACCCTGAGATCATGACCTGACTGAAATCAGGAGTTGGAGGCTGAACCGACTGAGCCACCCAAGCCCCCCTCTTTGGAGACTTTAAGTGGGCTTTTCTTGGCAAAGCACGATTAGTGCCTTCAACGAGAATGAAAATAATGTAGTCCGTGTTACAACGGAGATGGACTTTTGTTTTCATAGTGCTCCTACATTCTGCATTGGTTTTTAATAGACTGTTTTTTTAGAGCAATTTTAGTTTTACAGAAAAACTGAGCAGGAATTACAAGGAGTTCCCACATGCCCCTATTATTAACAGCTTGCATTAGTGGTGCATTTGTTACTGTTGAGGAATCAGTATTGATCCATTATTATTAACTAAAGTCCACAATTTACATTTTAGAGCTCACTCTTTTGCTTGCACAGTCTCGTAAAGCATAATTTCTCTGCCCTAAAAGTGCCCTGTGCTCTACCTGTTCCTTCACCACCACCACTGCCCCCCGCAATCATTAGTCTTTCGACATTCTCTGTACTTTTGCCTTTTCAGAATGTCACAGTTGGAAACACACAGTATATAGCTTTTACAGACTGGCTTCTTTGACTTAGCAATATGTGTTTGTTTCCTCCATGTCTTCTTGTGTAGTTTGGGTTTTCTCTACAAAAAAGGAAATTTAGGTCTCTAAAAGTACACAGCAAATAGGAACGCCATTTACCCACCTCTCTCAGGTTAAGAAGTGCTGACATATTTTGCCATCTTTGCTACAGCTGTCCCTTTTTTCCTGTTTAGAAATACCCTGTCCCAGAGGGTTGGAGCCCCTGTGTTCCCTTCCCTGTCACTTTCCCACGAAGACCGCCTCTGTCATATACTTGATGTGCACACTCTTAGGGTTGTCTACCTCTGTGTATCCAGAAACAGTGACCGGTGTTGAATGGTGTGATGTTGAACTTGACATGAATGACACTGTGGTGAGAGAGGAGACCTCTGAGGGCTGTCCCCCATGGCCTGCAGGGGCTGGAGGGGGTGGGATAGAGGCTCCACCCTGCCCCCCACCCCAGCAGCCTGCTCCCTGGATTCTACAAACTTCCCAACCCCACTGAGATGGGTCATCCTCCAAGAGAGCCAGAGAACAAAGCCCCTTTGTGACTTTTGTTTTGAATCTGGCTTGTGACAATGGGGAGGGGTGGCAAGGGCTTGGTGGGGGTGGTGGGGGGGTGGATGTGTGCTGGGAGCATGGTGTTGATGCAGGAGAAGAAAACAAAATCGTGGGTTGTTTTTTGTTTTGGTGTTGTGTCGCTGCTTCCTACCTCCCTCAGCCCTCCGAACAGCGGGATTTCGCAACGGCAGCTTGGGAAACAGACCGAGCGCTCCGTTCAGAAGCAACGTGTATCAGCCCACTGAGATGGCCGTTGTGCTCAATGGAGGGACTGTAAGTATCAAGAGGTGATGTTTTGGCCGGAGGCCCAAGAGCGATCAGTGTTGGGGGCAGCTTCGACGGGGGCATCCTGCTCCGTGGAGGCTGCGTACGGGCCTGCACACACTGGCCCACGTGGACACCCCTTACAGCTAGAATGCATGCAGTGCTTCCATTTCTCTTCCCCTCTCTACCCCCGTTCTCCATGCACGGAAGATGCACCTATACTTAGTGAACCATCTGTGTGGGTTCCTTCAAGAGAGTCCCTGTTTCTTAGGGCTCTTGTACCCCATGAGTCTGGCTTTCATTATTGCACAAGATGCCCACCTGTGCTCCCTGGGAGGTGACTTTTAGGAAAAGCCCAGAGTTGTGAAACCCCCCCCAGCAGATTTTGCTGACATCCAGCCTAGTGTACCCCCGTCTGTCCCCCCACCCCATCTCTGTGCCCCAGCTGGATACCGGGTTCCCCTACCTCCACTCCTTAAAAGATGTCTTAAGAAACCGAAGCAATTATCATTTCTCCCCCTGCGAGAACAAAAACAGGTTTTACTATCTGATGCCAAACAGACCTTCAGCAGAATTGTCATTGTTTACATTTTGCCTCCGTGCAATTACATCATTTTGTTTCTCCAGCAATCCAAAGACACACTGTCATCCCCACATTTAATTTCCAAACATAGCTACATGCTTCCTCAGAAACAATGCATAAAGCCAGTTTACATGTGTAAATTGGACTTCCATTCCTCTATCATGTGCCAATTCCATAACTCAACCTGAGCTTTTTTTTTCTTTTCTTTTCCTTTTTTTAATGTAAGTCGGGGATGGTCTTTGATCTCTGGAGGGAATTTGGGTTTTCCTGGCCTTTTGAATGGTATGCGAGGCATTGGTTTGCACTGGTTTGGAACAGGCTCAAAGACAAACAGACTCACAGATTTGCTTTCTGAAAACCCCCTGCCATCCCTTGGGCTGTTTTATTGTCGGGTGCCAAGAAAAAGCCTGACTCGAAAGCATTCTGCCTGTGTGTTGTAATAAATAATGTTAGAACCCCCGTCAGTCACTCTTAAGCTCTCCTAGGCTCTTCGAGGCCAGTGGGTATAAAAACACCGTGGACTTAGAGAAAAGCCAAGTGGGTTTCTGAGTGAGGAGACAGTCATTCGGGATGTATGATTATAGAAAAGAGGACCCAGCTTCCCCTAGAATAGAGCTGCGTCACACACACCGGGTTGCCGCTTTTCTTGGGAATTATTCAGCCCCTTAGAAAAAAGCAAGATAACTTATCTTTGGCACATTGTTAACGAATTGGTTTCTGATGTTGACTTTGCAAAGCACAGAGTTCTTAGTATGTTATCCTTGTTTCCAGATCCCAACTGCTCCGCCAAGTTACACTGGAAGACACCTCTGGTGAAAGACTTTTAAGTTCCAGAGAATAAGAATCTCTCTTACCGATTTTATTCCCTGGCTGTGTCTTTCTTGAGGGAGAAATCAGTAACAGTAGCCGAACAAGGCTGCCTCACAGCCGGGAGATCTAGAAATCCTACACAAGGGGATTTTGTGTAAATGTGAACACTGCTGAACCTAAAAGCTAACACCGACTGCCCTCCGTCCCCTGCCACACACACACACACACACACACACACACACACACACACACACGCGTAATACCAAACCAACCTCAATCCCTGCAAACTAAAGCAAAGCTAATTGCAAATAGTATTAGGCTCACTCAAAAATGTGGCTGGGAAGACTGTTTCATCCTCCGGGGGTAGAACAGAACCACATTCACAGTCGGTGGGCCGGGCTGGTGTTGGTTGACTGTGGAGCTCCCCACACCATCGCCCCTCCGCAGCAAGTGCTGGACCTCAGGTGGCCTTTTTTGAGATAACTGTTTCATTGAGAGGACTAATGGGACTTCTCCATCAGCTTGCCTGTTGGTTTGCACATTTCAGGGGGGTCAGGAGCAGTTACGGAGTTGTGGGTGTGATCCTGGGGTAAGGCCCAGCCAAATCACAGCATGAGCTTTACAGCAGTAGTGGGGGAGGGACCCCAGCCTGTGCCAACGAAGAGAAGGCTATCTGGGAGGTGAAGTGACTGTCACATTTAAAAAGTGGTGACCCACCACTGTTCCCTCTCTGGGCCTCCTGCTGCAGGTCTACAGCAGAAAAGCATGCCCGCCTCCCTCCTTGGAGCCAGAGCGATATTCCCGCTTGGGGCAGCAGTCTCTTTCCCTTGATGAGCTCTCCCTCCTCCTGCTCTTGCCAGTGCTCCCCGAACCCCGCACCCTTTCCCAGTTTTATTTCCATGTTCATTTCCAAAGCTCAGATGGGCTGTCAGCTGACAGCCCTCCCCCACCCCCGTTGGCAGGCCAGAAGGCAGGTGCCACAGCGATTGTCTGTGATGATGTCACATGGCAGGGCATCCCAGGGGAGAGGGGACACTCTGCTGCCTAGCATGCAGTGAGTTCTCAGGTGTTAGACGTTGACGGAGTGCAAGTTCCAGGGAAGGCTGGAGCACTCGAGAGGTTCTTGCTGCTTTTGGAGGGTATGTGGGACATGTTTTGACTTGGTTTTCTGTAAGTTCCATGCAAATGGTTCTCTTCAAAGCCCATTGTTTCTGTCATGGTTTCCATCTGTCCTAAGCAAGTCATTCCTTTGTTATTTGGCATTTCCAACATCTCGGCCATTAAAAGCCCCATGTTCTCTGCACTGTTTGGCCAGCATAATCACTAGCAGTGACACAAAGCAAAGAGTTTTAACTTGACGGCATGAAATGTATAAATGAGGGTGAGTCCTTTGGCATATACGCTAATGATTATATTGCTTTTTCTATAAAACAACCCTTAAGCCTTTAACCTTTAAAGAAAATGAAAAAGGTTAGTGTTTGGGGGGGCGGTGGGAGACTGACCTCTTCATAAGCCAATATGTCTGAGCTGTTTTAATAAACCTTCCGATTTTTCTCAAGGCCCTAGTCTCTGCTGTGTCCTGTCCTTGCCACAGTCCCCTTCCCCACTGCAACCTTGCAGAGCGATGGGGTAAACGAAGCCAATTTGGCCTTCCCTCCGTGGCCCTCCTTCAAGTTTTCCATCCAGCTAGTGCATTTCCTTGTGTTGCCACGCATGAGGAAGAAAAAGCATGGCACCAGAATGCCACCCCTACCTGACCTTTGGGAAACAGCCCACCCCTGCCCAGAGCATGTGCTTGCTTCTAGAGAATCAGATTCCAATCCTCTCTTGAGGAGCGTCATTGGTGGACTGGAAACTGGGAATATTGGGGAGGAGAGGGAGGGAAATAAGCCAGGACCCGGGGTGGGGATGGGGGTGGTGGTTGCATGCAGACCCAGGATTGTGAAAATACAGAAATCTCCAAACACCTCGGTCCAGTCTGGTGAAAAACGATAGCAATACACATTCTCGTGCCAGGAAATGGTTGCTTACCCCTGCTCTCTGGAGTCCTTTGGAGCTCTCTGATCCCATCAGTGATTCCGTCTGCAAGAGCCCCCCTCCCCCCCTTGCAGAAGGGAGCAATTCACCCGATCGTTTTCTCTCTCAGTTCTTGGTGGCCTATAAGGTGAGCACAGCATAAATGGCTACAAGGGGGAAACGTTTCATCAACGTAAAAACAGAACCAGCTTTGCGCCATGGGAGACCTCACTTAATGAGACCTTTTCTCCCTCTTTCTTTTTAATTCTCTGATACGTTATTGCGCTTCTGGATTTTGTTTTATTTTGGCTTTAAGGTTGAGAGTGGGGTGGATGCCCTCCCAATGGGGCAGAGGTGGGGAATGAGGGCAGAGAGCAGAGAACGGGTATTTTCCTAATGACTCCACCTGAAGGGTACAAAGAGACCTCTTTGCCAAGAGACTGGCTGCCAGCTGGCCCCACGGAGCAAACTTTAAATACAAAATCCAGTGGCACCTCTGTTTATGGAAACAACACTTGTCGAGGGAAAATGACCAGAAGGAGAGCATCTGTGATTAAAATACCTAATTGTAAGCACAAATCTTTCTGTGTCCGGTTATTAAAATCACTCTGGGACTATAACAGCCACACTTGTCCCCCCCCTTTTAATAAAAAATGGTCATTCTATCCTGGTTTCCTCCACTGGATGTGGAGGGTGGGCAGTGAGGGAATCAGCTCAGAGAATTGACAAACTGGGAAAATGTGGGGATCCCGTGCTTTTAGCACAGACTCTGTCTGGGCCCACCAAACAAGGGTAAACTTGGGGTGGTCTTCTAGGTCGGCCAGTGCTGAGTTGAACCCTAAACTGAAGGGGAGTGTTGTGGCTTTTATAATCCAATGATGCAATGATTACACCAGCTTACAAGAGTTCTGAGCAGGTGCTTTTTATTAATTGATAAAGAGCTAAGGCTCGTTTTTGATAGATAATATATATTTATTAAATGTGTTAATGTGTGTTTTATAATGTACCTTTATCCTCCCCTGGCTGACTGTTGCATACTTATTAAAAAAAATCGTTAAAGAAACTTCAAGACAATCAATGTGTACCATAAATGACTGTATATAAACATGACAAATTTAAAGGTTGTAAAGCATGGGCAGATAGGTTTTATTTTCAAAATGCTGTTCTTAACACAAAAATAAAGGCTTTCCTATTTACTTAAGATGTGTGGTAGCTTGTCAAAACCACCCAGAATAACTACGAAGCTTTTGGATTTGCCTGGAGGCTCAGTCTGTGGCATTTTGAACGGGGGAATCCTGGTTCACAGCAAACCACAGAACAAATGAGGGTAATAAGTTAGCTTAGCCACCAAAGAGGAACTTTCTATAGTACTCTGGGGGCTTGACAACCAAAGTCCTTTGTCTGTTACTGTCTGGGTGTCTTCAACTGGTTGGATTTGCAGTCAGAGATAAAAGTCAGTCTCCTCTGCAAGTGGTTGTAGGCAATACGTCTTTTTTATGAAGAGAATACTCACCAGATAAACCTAAAGCCCACGGCAGAGGTTTGGGACTCGAATTTAAGTACCAATCTTTGCCAAGGCAGCCAGAAGTGGTAAACTGGAAACTAAAACACTTCAGCGTCTCTTGGATCTAGAGTTTGTTGTACATTTTAACGGCGGTTGGTGTAGAAGAATATACTGGAAGCACTGAAGAAATAATAATGGATAAAAGAATAAAATTTGGAGATAATGCAGAAAGTTAGGATTCGTACTCTCCTAGGATAAACTGTATGCAGTAAGGCATGTTTGCAACAAATCCTAGCTTGTGCAGAAAAGGTTCTGTATTCACATGTACTAAATCTAGTCGTTAAAAAAAAAATCAACAGAGAGGAAGCATAATTTGTACATTTTCCTCACGTAGGGTCCTTGAAGCTCCAAAGGGAAAAGATCCCCCAGTAGTTAAGGTGGTGGAGTTGTAGGTGCAATTTCCTCATCGTCCTCCATTTTGCATTTCACTACAAAGAAATGAAAGAGAAAGTCAGAATCAATTTACATACCCAGACAGACTTGTGATTTTGCAAACAGCAAACTCTGATGTGTGGAGGTCCACGACATCGGAACTCACTGAGCACCCGCTCTGGTTCTGGGGCCACGGACCCACCGGGGAAGAACGCAGGGCCATTATGTTCCAAGGACGGAATCGAAAGCTTCAAAACCACGTGATGTTTATGGCTATTCTTTTTGTCCCCCAGTTTTATTGAAAAATAATCGACATACACTGCTGTATAATTTTAAGGCAGATAGCAAGATGGTTTGATTTACATATATGGTCAAATGTTTACTCCAGTGGGGTTCACTGACCCCCCATCTTCTCACACAGATCCAATAACAAGAAAATCTTGTGATGAGAACGCTTGGGATCTACTCTCTTCACAACTTTCCTATGTATCATTCAGGAGCGTTAGCTGCAGTCATTATGTTGTATATTAGAGCCCTAGTGCTGATTTATCATGTAACTGAAGGTTTATATCGTCCCTGGTAACCACAAGTCTGATCTCTTTTCCTGTGAGTTTGGGGTTTGTTTTTTTGTTTGTTTGTTTAGATTCCCCATATAAATGAGATCATACAGTATTTGTCTTTCTTTACCTGACTTATTTCACTTAGCATAATGCCTTCAAAGTCCATCAAGCTATTCTTAATTTAGTTCAGTAGAAGGTCAAAAGTGTTCTTTGCGGGTCAGGGAAACTGAAGAAAGGAAGTTTTACTGAAGATGATGACAGATTCCAGGCTCTTGACTCAGTCCAATCTGTCACCACTCACCTTGCTCCCCCACCCACCCAAAATTAAAAACTCAGGATAACACTGGGGTGAATGCAAGGTCAGAAGGGAATCTTTTCTAGTCTTTCATGGTCTGGAAAAGAATGTGATCTGGGGGATTTCCTGCATCGGCCAAACAGGAAAGTTGGCAGAACACAGGACAGCACAACTTGTAAGGGAAATTGTCCCAATAGGGAAAAGCCCCTTCCCTAGAAAAATAGGGAAACCAGTCCTCTACGGTGGGGGGAGGAGGAGTCCTTTTAGAAAGACCCTCATTTAAAAAAATTTTTTTAAGGTTTTATTTATTTATTTGAGGGAGAGCATGCACTTGCGCAAGTTGGGGGGTACAGGTAGAGAGAGAGAGAAAATCCGGAATCTCAAGCAGCTTCCGTGCTGAGCACGGAGCCCAAAGCAGGGCTTGATCTCAGGACCTCAAGATCATGACCTAAGCTGAAATCAAGAGTTGGTTGCTTAACCAGCTGAGTCACCCAGGCGCCCCCAAGAAAGACCCTCTTGTTTTTAAAAAGTTTTTGTTTCTAGTGTTCCAAGTGCTTGTCCTGGACATTAATGCCTGAAGGTTCTTCTGAGTAAGGTCACGGGCTCTGATCACACATGGGGAGCGGTGTTCTAGCAGAAAGCGTGTTGTTAGCATGTAGGGCACAGGTTTTGATCCAACCAGACCCAAGCATGGACTGAGGTGGGGACACCATCACGGGCAACACAGTTACTTCCTGTTGGATGTGGACTGAAAAGCTTTCAGCAGCCCAGGCTAGCACAGCAGTCCTCAAACTGGGGCTTTCTAAGGGTATTTGGTCATGGTTTATTCAAAGAGAGTCACCCTCCAAGTCCTCAGCTGTGGACATTGTGGACTTGCGGTTGGTGGGGTTTATACTGATCCCCTTTCCTACCTCTCCTGGTCCTGGCATTGGTAAGTGTGTAAAAAATCCCCAGGTGGCAAACAAGGAGGCAATCAGTCCACCAGAGTCTCCTTCCCGTGTTTTCTGTGTTTAATAATTATCAAAAGTTAAAGTGTATTTATTTGGCTTTGTGAATTACTAATAACTTAACTCAAACTAGAAAAAGTATTTTTAATACTTAGAACCTGTGGTCACTGGAAATTTTAAAGAATTGTTTTGAGTGGGGCACCTGGGTGGCTCAGCGGGTGAAGCCTCTGCCTTTGGCTCAGGTCATGGTCTCAGGGTCCTGGGATCGAGCCCTGCATCTGGCTCTCTGCTCAGCAGGGAGCCTGCTTCCCCCTCCCCCCTCTGCCTGCCTCTCTGCCTGCTTGTGATCTTTCTCTATGTGTCAAATAAATAAAATCTTAAAAAAAAAAAGAATTGTTTTGAGTGTATACACCTTTTTTTGTTTCATATACATATGAAAGCTGTCCAAGTAACCACCGTGAATATCCCATGTGCCTCTAGATCCTACTGATGACAATGGTCCTTCAGAGCCAAGGATGCTCTACGCCTCTGCCGGTGCTTTCCCAGGATCCTGCTGATCCGTGATGTGATCCGGATGGGAAAGCTGAGCAACTGAGTGGGGATGGCAGATTCCCAACTTGTAGGCCTTGTCAATTTCCACATTCGATTTTAAGCTATCAGCCTCATCAGAGCTGGGAGGCGGTCTGCTCCACCTGATGGAACAGCTCAGTACAGGCCTGCTCTGGGTCCAGACAGGGAGGTATGCGGGAAAACCTCAGGGGCAAGATGGTGCTCTAGGCAGGGTCAGGGGGAGCAGCACCGTTCCCAGTATCACTGGGAAGCTGTTAGAAGTGCAAATCCAGGGGCGCCTGGGTGGCTCAGTGGGTTAAAGCCTCTGCCTTCGGCTCCGGTCATGATCTCAGGGTCCTGGGATCGAGCCCTGCATCAGACTCTCTGCTCAGTGGGGAGCCTGCTTCCCCCTCTCTCTCTGCTGCCTGCCTCTCTGCCTACTTGTGATCTCTCTCTCTCTCTCTGTTAAATAAAATCCTTAAAAAAAAAAAAAAAGAAGTGCAAATCCACAGCTCCACACACACCTAAAGAATCAGCAGCAGTGGAGCCCAGCCAGTTCGTGTTGTCAACAAGCCCCCCCCCCAGGGGATGATGGATACATCAGAGTTTGACCCACTGCTGCTGGTTCTCCACCTTGGTTGCTTTTAAGAATCACCTGGGCCGCGGCTGAAGCCTATTAGTGCCTGGGTCTCACCCTAGACATTCTGATGTAATTGGTCTGAGGCCCGGGTATTTAACAGTATTCAAAGTTCCCCTGTGTTGCTAATGCTCAGTCAGTGTTGAGAAACCCAAACTGGGGTTGGAGTCCCTTAAAAAAAAAAAAAAAAAAGACCATAAAGACCCTTACAATTCAGAAGAGCCTAGAGTTCCCCTCCATGTCTCAAAATGGAAGCAGTTTGATGACCTCTCTGGCCCACAGTTGGCAGACAGTCGCTGGAGGCTCCCAATAGCCAGAGAGGAAAGGAAGTCTGCTGGGAAGAATTCAGACTTTGGGTTTTCTGTTGTTCCTCAGCCCTGCCTGAAGGAAGAATTCACCTGCTCCCCTCTGTCCCCGTATCAACCAATTCCTGCCCATGCCTTGATAACCTCTCTTAGCCACCCATATACTTCGACTTTGCCTGGGGAAAAAGCCCTTATTATCTCTTTCCAATTATTACACAAGCGTCTTGAGAAAGGAGAGCAGAGAGTGATGCTAGGACCGCTCCTCCGAACTGAAAAATCAAACACTATCTAGAGTTGATGGACTGGAAATAAAGATGGATGTGGAGCCCCAGGATGGAATCACCTGGGGATATTTGAACGTCCTCAATGCCCACCCCAGCCAGTCAGGTCAGAGTTGCTGGAGTGGGGCCTCTCCACTGGTGACCCCACCCTGGGGAGGTGGCATTATCCAGTGACACTGAGTATGCACACTCCCCACAATGCAGCGACGACTGCTCTCCTCTTGCCGTCCCCTGGGGAAATTCTTGCACACACGTCTGTGCCACGTGGATTAAGATGTCCGGGATAGCAGGAAGCTTCAAAGAACTCAAATGTCAATCAGTAATTGCCTGGATAAATAAATCGTGGTCTGCTTGAACGGCGAGTATACCACAGGGAACATGAATAAACCACAGCCACACCTGTTGCCTTAGATGAGCTCACCCACATCAAAGGAAAGGTGGAAGGCGCAGTGTAATACATATAGTGCGATTCTATTTACAGCAGATCTAAATACCGAGGAGTGCCTCTAAAGATGAGAAAAACTCTAAAAGAGGCAAGAGAACAGGGGCGTCTGGCTGGCTCAGTAGAACACGTGACTCTTGATCTCAGGGTTGTAAATTCAAGCCCCATGGTGGGTGTAGAAATTACTTAAAAATAAAATCTTTTTTAAAAAAATTTTATTAACATTTAATGTATTAAGATTTTATTATTATTTTTTGGACAGAAAGAGAGATCACATGTAGGCAGGGAGGCAGGCAGAGAGAGAGGGGGAAGCGGGCTCCCTGCTGAGCAAAGAGCCCGATGCGGGGCTCGATCCCAGGACCCTGGGATCATGACCTGAGCCGAAGGCAGAGGCTTAACCCACTGAGCCACCCAGGCGCCCCTAAAAATAAAATCTTAAAAAAAAAAAGGCAAGAGAACAATTAGCCCAAAAGTCAGGATAAGTGGCTTCACTGGGGGAGAAGCTTTAAAGGTGTTGACAGTATTCTATTTCCTTAACTGGGATGGTAGTTATACGTGAGTGTTTGCCCCAGAGTTATATGTGCTTTGTGGTCACTATTGTATGAATATTTCCCCCACCCCCAAAAAACAGGTAACAAGAAATAAAAATGGTATATTACTTGAAATTACAAAGCCAACTAATGAACAGAAAAGAACAATTTAACTGCTTTGGGAGGGTGGAGATGGGGTATAAGTGAACTCGTCCTCATCTGTCATAGCAGGAAATCAGATACTGTCTAAAATCATATCTATCATACCGAAAATCATAACTATTCAGAGATAAACAGCTAAGAGTTCAAAGTGATTGCTGTAGCAGAGGGTGGAAAAGGGATGATGCTGGTTATGTCCTTCTGTCCATCCTACACAGTAGTCCTCCCTTATCCTTGGGGGACAGGTTCCAAGACCCCCAGTGAATGCTCATAGCCAGAGATAAGGCAGGGAGATGAGTACTGTCTTTTAACCATGGGAACCATGTGCAGGGATTAAAAGTTAAGAAACAG